ATAGTTCATTCACTTCAAGTTGAAATGTGACGTCAGCGATGTTGCTTTCAAGTTACACCGGACATAGTAATGCTTTACGAATTGCTGTTGAAACAATATTGTACAGCTGTCAAAGCTTCAAATTTACTGTAACCATTTACATTTTGATATTGAAAGAAAGAAAGAAAGAAAGAAAGAAAGAAAGAAAGAAAGAAAGAAAGAAAGAAAGAAAGAACATATACTTGGAAATTAGATACATCTCCTTAGACAATCTGTTATTCTCTACAAAACTCTGGTGGTTATTTTTTTCAGCCATGAAAACATTATTTTGCGTTACATAAAAATTTGTTCCTACATTTTGGTAATGTTACTTCCTTAATTTAACAGTGTTTTTACTATCTACTATAAACCTCTGACCATGATATGATGAACTTCAGAGCTATTGCATGGTGTTCAGACCTAATAGCCTTGAGGCTTCTTCTTTCATGGAAATACAGTTCTGTGTAGATATTTTACTGCATCAACAGTTTGCAATTGAACTGATACTGAATTTTTGTGAAAACTGAGCTTAGCAGCAAATATTGCTACTAAAACCTAATAAAGAATTTTGCACTACAGGACTTTATGTTACCTAAAGTGAGAAGACCAAGTAAAAGAATTCAGTGTTACATGAATATGATGCTGTAGATCGGTGATGCTGAGTCAGTCTCACCTCTGTAGCTATAAGTTCTCATTTACATAGAAGTTTATTTTTAGATTACAGAAAATCTGAAAAATAATTAAAAGCTGCAACTATTCACGGTGGTGGAAAGTACTGTGCATTTCCTCTAGTGCTGCACCATGTGATTACATTTTAATTTTTTTAATTTTAATTTTTTTAATTTCTTCTATCAGCAAATATTTCACTTTTGAATCTGCTACACATCTGTTTGGATTCATGTCACTTTCTGAATTTAAGATAATAATATAAATATAATTCAATACATATACATAGTGGTTACCAGATATGACTTGCATGAGCATGACGACTTATAATTTCCACAATTAGGAATTTATGGAAGCCTATTTCTGCCACTGAAAACAACTGAAACTGAAGAAAAGGTCTTTTTTTGTTCATTTTTTTGTTGCCAGTTGTATGTAAGCAAATCAAAATTAGGAGATAAGAACAAATCATTGCTCTTCCTCCTTTCAAAGTTGTTTGAAACATTCCCTCCGCTACTACAACTACTAATTTTACTAATTATTCTTATTATTATATTTGATAATAATAATAATAATAATAATAATAATAATAATAATAATAATAATAATAATAATAAT